CCCATTGCCCCTTGTCCTGTCCCTGCAGCTCCTAACACAGAGTCCCTCTGCAGCTTCCCTGGAGCCCCTTCAGCTCCTGGAAGGTGCTCTGAGGTCTCCACACAACCTTCTCTCCAGGCTGTTCATGTGTGTTACCCAGTGCCCTTCCCTATTAGTAGATGAAAATAATGTACAGTCTAGAAAACAGTGTAAATTATTTTATGGATCAATTCTAAAGGCAGAAGGGGCTTGACTCTGGATGTCTGCAACCCCTCCTATGCTACAAGGGCTGTAGAACTTAAGTTAATTTTCCTTTCATTAAATCTCTCCTCTTTTTCTTCCAGCAAGAGTTCTGGCACATCTATTCCGGTACGATCATTCAGGACATTCAAACAGCTGCGAAACACTTCCACTGCTGAAGCTCTTGGCGTGAGCTGGACTGACACTGAATGTTTTTACAGACCCTAACCAGTGTGCCTCCAACCCCTGTCAGAACGGTGGGATTTGTCATGACCAGTTTCAGGATTACGTTTGCCTCTGCCCTGCCGAGTATGAGGGCAAAAGCTGTGAGAAAGGTCAGCTGTGGCATAACTCAACTAAATAGAAATGCCATTATTAATTCAAATTCAAGGCATTGAGGTGAACAGTAGCAATAATTTTCATTCAGAAGTTCCTAGAATCATAGAACCATCAAGGCTGGAGGAGACCTCTAAGATCATCCAGTCCAACCATTAACCTGTCACTGCTGGAACCCCTAAACCCTAAACCAGATCCTCCAGTGCCAGATCCAGATGCCTCTTCAACACCTCCAGGGATGGTGACTCCACCACCTCCCTGGTCAATATCCCAGTGCCTCAACACCCTCACAGGGAAAACATTTCTCCTCACATCCAATCTGACTCTGCCCTCGCTCAGCTCAAGCCTATTCCCTCTAGTCCTCTCCCTGCAGCCATGGCAGGACACACATCCCCCACCTCTCTCCAACCCTGGCAGGGAGTTGCAGAGAGCCAGGAGGGCACCCCTGAGCCTCTTCTCCAGGCTAAACAAACCCAACGCCCTCAGCCCTTCCTCATCCCACAGGTTTTCTAGACCTGTCCACTGATTTCAGTTACTCTTCCAGTAACACCCTTAGTATACGCAGAATCCCAACAAGGGCTAGTCATGCTTCAAGTCTAACCACGCAGTCTGAACAGTCATCCTTGAGCATCCTTCTGCCAAATGGCAAAATACAACATGCCTACAATTTTTCAGTCATATATATGATGATTAGCACACAATTACAACACCTCCATTCTTGGACATATCACCTACTGCATAAATGTAGACTGATATCATTCTAGGTGCATGTTTCTTTGTTAGGAGCTGCAGTGACAGGACAAGGGGCAATGGGGACAAAGTGAAGGAGGACAAATTTAAGTTAGATGTTAGGAAAAGGTTTTTCCCTGTGAGGGTGTTGAGACACTGGCACAGGTTGCCCAGGGAGGCTGTGGCTGCCCCATCCCTGGCAGTGTTCACAGCCAGGTTGGATGAAGCCTTGAGCAACCTGGTGTGGTGGGAGGTGTCCCTAACCAGGGCTGGGAGTTGGGAGTGGATCATCTCTAAGCTCCATTCCAACCTCTAAAATTCTACAATTCTATGACTTTTAAGCATAGCCTTTTCTTCCCCAGTGTCTGGAGACCCAGGTCTACTTAGCACTTGCCAAATGGAAGGCACTTTTGATGCAGGGTCACAGCAATTTGCTTTGCTACCTTGCTTCCCAGTCAACATTTCTATTGCAACTGATTCATTTGAAGCATGAAAAAGCCACATCTGGTAATGTAAATGCTCTTTCTCTGTCCTTAGCCAAGGCTGACACACTGAAGTGCATTTATGAGAATGGTGGCTGTGAACAGTACTGCACTGATGAGCAGTTGAAAACACGACTGTGTTTCTGTGATGATGACTACACTTTAGCAAGTGATGGTGTGTCCTGCATCCCCCAAGGTAAGATATTACTAGCCTGATGCTAAGTTTAAGTCAGCTCTGGAAGAAAAGTTTTCAACCTGTACCCGTCAGGAGGAGGAAGGAATAACCCCTAGATACCAACTCCCCACATCTCCTCCAAGGGCAGAGTCCTAAGCAGTATATATGGCCTTCTGGTGCAAGTTAGACACTCCAGAAAAGCTGTTGTTAGTGTGCACACTGATCCTTCTGGGCCTCTCCTTCCTAGCCTCAGAGCTCCACTCCTCTGGGATGTGGGAAATTCAAGTTTGAACATCCCACCTGCTCAGAGCTAGGAAGGAGCTGAACCCTTGGCTCCTCACCACTAGTTGAGTAGAGAAGAACTGAGCAGTGGAGACAAGCTCGTGGCCAGGAGGTGTAAATAAAGCAGAGCTGTAGGTGGTCAGGGATTTGGGGTCAGGCTGAAAGGTTTCTGGCGAGTGGAGGGGCTCTGGGACTCACAAATCCTTTAGCTTACACCCATGGTGGGAAAATATTTTGGTGGCAGCATTATTTTACTGTTGTCTCTCCAACCTGAAATTGTGACTGGATTTTATTTCTATATTTATTTCAGCTCAGGAGTCAAGAGAGGAAGAGACTTATTAAAATCAAAGAAATTCAGACTGTTTTTCTTTCTTTCTTTCTTTCTTTCTTTCTTTCTTTCTTTCTTTCTTTCTTTCTTTCTTTCTTTCTTTCTTTCTTTCTTTCTTTCTTTCTTTCTTTCTTTCTTTCTTTCTTTCTTTCTTTCTTTCTTTCTTTCTTTCTTTCTTTCTTTCTTTCTTTCTTTCTTTCTTTCTTTCTTTCTTTCTTTCTTTCTTTCTTTCTTTCTTTCTTTCTTTCTTTCTTTCTTTCTTTCTTTCTTCCTTTCTTCCTTTCTTCCTTTCTTTCTTTCTCTCTTTCTCTCTTTCTCTCTCTCTTTCTCTCACTTCTCTCTCTCTCTCTCTCTCTCTCTTTCCTTCCTTCCTTCCTTCCTCCCTCCCTCCCTTCCTCCCTCCTTCCCTTTCCTATTTGATAGGGCTAATACACTTCTGGTGTTCCTATGGACACTATGGGTAGATATTTCTCTCACTCATCCGACAAGGCAAATTTCAGCTGGGACTAGGGCAGTGCAAGTTAATTATTTTTCCAATACAGGAGCTGGCACCTGACTCTATTGCAGGTGCCTACTTGGATTACTTGATTAGAGGGGGAAAAGAGACCCCTGGGGATATGAACATAACAACATAACGGGCAGAGCTGCAGGGAACACACGAAGTAATTCCAAGGGGTGATGCCCCCATACACACACCTCAATGGAGCACTCATGCAGAGAGCTGGTAATGACAGCCTAGCTCTCCACAACAGCAATTTCATTAGAAAAAAATGTCTACTAATGTGCTTATGCCTTATTAACAGTTTCTGCAATGCCACGTGATGGGGAAGCTGCTTTTGTTAAAAGCTGAGAACAAAGAATTCAATATTCCCCACAGGCTTTTCTGTGCGTCTTCCCCTGCAAGGAAGATGAATTCGTTGCTGCTTGGTTCTTGGGGACCAAAATAGCCATAGAGCTGAGGATGTGTGGCAAGGAGAGAAAATTGTGTAACTGACAGCCTGCCAGTCCCCTGACTGTTCTTCTGTCCTCTCCCACAAGGCTTTTTCAAATGCCCAAATGTGTTAAGGTGCAAAACTGGGAGGAGTGGTGATAGCTCAGAGGGCTCTGCTGCCCTTCAGAGGAACCTGGACAGGTTGGAGAGATGAGAACCAACTGAGATTCAACAAGGGCAAATGCAAGTCCTTACCCTGGAGAGGGATAACCCCAAGCACC